TACAACAAGTTGTGCACCAATACAACAAGTATACACCCTGTATACCCCCTACATATCGAGCATACGCCATGTACCCAAGTATACGCCCTGTGCACCAAGTACAACAAGTATACACCCTGTATACCCCCTACATATCGAGCATACGCCATGTACACCAAGTATACCCAATGTATCATCGGTTATATATCGTCAGATTTATACNTGTGTGTGTGTGTGTGTGTGTGTGTGTGTGTGTGTGTGTGTGTGTGTGAGCGTGTGCGTGTGTGTGTGTGTGTGTTAGTGTGCGTGCTTGCGTGTGTGCGTGCGTGCACGCGTGTGTGTGTTTGTGTGAATGTGGGTGTGGAATGTGTATATTGGTGTACGTTACGAGAGTGAGTGCGGGCGTGTGAGTACGTACGTATCAGTGTTGAAATAATTTTAAAGTGTACGTACGTTAATCACTTTACTGTACAGAATATACCTACTGTCTTCTTTGTATATGTTTTTTCTTCATGTTGCATAGCGCTGTTTTGTACTGTATCACTTAGATATTGCATCCATCAGATTTTTTCTCCATTAAACACATTGCCTTCAGTACATGCATTTGTATTTTAATTGCATGCAATAAAGATTGAATAATAACTAGACAGAGGGCACTCACGGAGAGTGCATAGCNCAGAAACTGGAAGCAAGTGCGCGCAAATGTTTAAATTGACGTCATTAGCTCAAGCGCGGAGAAAACCTGGGCGCTGGTGGCTGCGAGCGGATTAATGGTAGTGAATGCCAAGCGTGCGAGTGTGGTGGTGTTGTTGGAGAGAGTATAGAAAATGGTAGGTTTGCTGTGTGAGTATAGATTAGTCATCCTGAATTAAAGAGATCAGAAATTATATATAAAAAGAGGTCGCGTGGTATTTAGCGTTGCCTTATAATTACGTTATAATCTATAGGTGTTCATTATACGTATAATACGTATACTTATACTTATAGTACGTATAGCCTAGGTTAGCTCCAAGAAACGGTATTGCTAGGGTTAGAATACCGTTCAACTTCTTGGCCACAATTCCTTGTAGGTTGGCTCGGTATCCAACGCCATCGACACCAGCTATCGCGTCACATGTATAATAGCTCAAACGAATCTAATAACGTCTGCTTCTGCTCGCGCGTAACGGCCTACTGAGCGGCCTACTTATTTATGAGTTATGCCGTTTTTCTGAGATTACTGGATCAAAAAACCAGAAAGCCGCCATGTCTGCCCAATGTTCAGTGCACTATAAAATCAGCATGGACCTGATTTCACAGCTGCGTTAGGCCAAATACAGACGCCAAGTACATATCTTCGCAATGATAATTATCTAAGTTGTTGTAGGATTGACCATTTGATTCCCCTTGGATTCTGGTTTTTCAATGTTTTAATATTTATATATATAGAGTATATGGATGGCTTCTTATGCTCCGCGGCCAAAGCAAGTAGCGAACGCTATGGTAGTTTATGTCGTTCGCGGGTTCCGGTGCCGTTCGAAATCATACGCACATTGCGACAACCATGGCGGTTGCGGTTAGCTTGCAAGTTTCGGTTTGGCTCTTGAAATTTTACCAACTGGCACAGCAACTGAGGTATGTATTATTAATATCAAACGCTGTAACTATAAGGTGAAGGTTATATTTGATACAAAAACAAGGCAGAAATGCTAGCAGTGATCCATTTTATTTGAGTATATATACGGTAATTGTTTCGGATAGTTTTTGTAGCAGCTACGCAAGATTTTTCAAGTGGATGGAATGGTCAGGGCGGTGTAATTGCCAGTTACGTCACCAGCTGGTCGGTGTTAAGGCCTAGGATGACTATACATTATAACAGAGTAGATAATAAGCACAAGAGTAAGATCAACCGATTCCGCGCATTGTTTAACGCGATTTTTCTCATCAAATTTGCCACCAATAAAGAAGGCAGTGTATACGTTGGCCCTCAGACTTATATACCACTAATCACTCACCTTCTGGTACTGATATTCGTTTTCCATATATTTGTCGTAGCGTATTGCGTAAATCGTATCTGGCACGAGCTGAATTCGATAAATTTACCGCTAAATGGCGACTTGTTGGCGAGCTGTTTAGACATTATTAGAAAGCTATCGGTGGGGCCAATATTTAGCAAACGGACGGTTTCCAAATCATGCGTGCCCCGATAGGGGTTTAATGTACTTGATTACCTGCGCCGTGCGTAATTGTGAACTTACTGCAAACTACTACAGAGAATATTGTTATTATTGTATTTATTACTTATGTAAGATAGTATGTCAATTTCTTTCTTGTGTTGCGATCACAATAACTGAACACGTCTCGCAGGTTCTTCACGAGATCAAAATTTAGATTGTCTCTCAACCCTATCGGGGCACGAATGATTTGGAAACCGTCCGTTGCTAAATATTAGCGCCCCGATAGCTTCTAAATAATGGCTAAACAGGTCACAACAACAGCGGTAAATCGTGCGAATTCAGCTCGTGCAAGATTACGATTTACAGCAATATGCTAGCAAATATATGTAAAACGAATATCAGTACCATGAAGGTGAGTGATTAGTGGTCATAATAAGCTGAGGAACGTATACACATGCTTCTTTATTGGTGGCAAATTTTGATGAGAAAAATCGGTTAAAAATGCGGGATCGCTTCTTTATTGGTGGCAAATTTTGATGAGAAAAATCGGTTAAAAATGCGGGAATCGGTTGTCTCACTCTTGTGTTATTATATCTACTCTTGGTTATAATAATAATACTCATAGCTCCAAGAAACGGTATTGCTAGGGTTAGAATACCGTATAGACAATCCGTCGCACAGCCTGGTCGGGCTAAGGGCGTCCATAGCATAGGCGGCAGGCCTGAATAAGCACCTAACAGAATTTTTTTTTTAAATACGCCATGGCTATATTTACGGAGTCGTAAATACATTTATTTTTTCGGTAATGTATTTACGGAAATCCCATCATGCAAAGCGCCACGGACAAGTGCAGCCCCAACATGTTTACATCCGCGCATGGGAAACTACCTCGAAAGTGTAGGCTGTTTTTGTGACTAATCAACTTACTGTTGTATGCCTCCTGGTTCAAGGATAGAGAACATGGGTCCCAATAAAACCAATGTCATTTACATCAATATAAATATAATATTATATCAATATAATAGGTTTATTGGTTTTATTGGGACCCATGTTCTCTATCCTTGGGCCTGCCTCCTAGCTATAGCTTTTATAACAGTCACCCCGAGTCGGCGGAGACCGCTGTACCGTAGAGATTGGACGCTCGCCCAAAACTGGGCGCTTCTAAGTGCGCATGCGCGCAAGCGCAGTAGTCATCTGTGCATCTTGCCCATCGAAAATGGTCGCAATAAACAAACATGGCAGGCAACCCGGTCACTGATGGAAACATTTGATTGAAACAATTTGCAATATGTAGTAAGTTATTAAGGCTGATAGGGTCTATGTCCCCCAGGGTACTGCCGGAACGTACCCTGGTAACTATCTTGCTGATATGGTTAGGGGTAGGGTTAAGGTTAGGGTTAGAGTTAGGGTTAGGGAGTAGGCGTAGGCGACTCTCTAGACTCGTTAGTGGAGTAGGCGATCTATGGTCCGGCATATTAGATAGTAGTATTTAGTACCAGGGTACGTTCCGGCAGTACCCTGGGGGACATAGGCCCTATCAGCATTAGTAAGACTGTGTTATGTTTGTCAGGTTACAAGGCGAAACAAAAAGAAAACAAAAGAGCATGGCTACTATTGCCTACGGCCCTGCAAAACAAGATTCAAACAAAAAGAAAACGACCAAAACAAAAGAGCATGCATACAGATCGTCCAGTTTCGGGCGAGCGTCCAAACTCTACGGTACACCGCTACGGCGTTAGTCTAATAGTAATACTAATACTAGTAATAGTAATATCCCATAAGTCGTCATGGATTAAGTAGTCCTCATAGTAAATCCATTGGAATAGCCCCGCCTAAGTCGTCATTATGTACAAGTCGTCGCCCTCAGACAGGTCCCATGTTACAAACAACAGTAATTTCCCATCTGTAAGTCATCAGAAATGCCGATTGTGCGCATGCAGTGTACGGTCTAGGGGATGTGCGAGCTGGCTGTCGCAGATATGCGCTTACTACAGTTCGTTCCTGAGCACGGCCTCGCGGAATTACCGTATTTTTTCAACAAGTGTTCCAAGAAAATTTGGCAGACAGCCAGACATGCACTGCAAATGTCCTGCAATGTCCAAACGTGTAATCAACAACGGGTGTTATAGATAGCCAGCGTGTGCCGCGCTTGCCGCTAGTGCGTACAATCAGTGTGTTATGGCCAGCAGCGGTGTCGATTGATGTACGGACCCGATTGTTTCATGTCTGCTATATGTATGTGGCACGAACTGATGTCGTGTGTGGCGCATGCTTATGACTGCATAGGGGTGATAGGCACCTGGGAGGGGAGCCCTACACATCTATAAGTCGACAAAATGACGACTTACGCGTATGTCGTCATTTTCGTAAGTCGGCACAAAAATGCTGGTCCCAAAAGTGATGACTTAAATGCGAGTTTTACTGTAGTAAACTAAGTCATTATTATGCACAGACTTGCCAAGGGTGTTCAACCAGCTTGCTGGAGGTTCAGTGAGATTTTGCTGTAGAATGGGTCATTTTTGGAATATAATGCTGGAGGTTGAGAATATTTTCAAACATGACCAGTTTCTGAATATTTGGTTTTAAATTATGTATTTGCAGTTCGCATTCGAAGAAAAGAAGACAAAATAAAATTTTAAGGCATAAAAACTTTAAGTGGTACTGTACTTTGTATAAAAGCATTTCTGAAGTGGTACATACAGTATACGTTAAATTTGCGTGAATGCGTGAGAATGCCTAGGGCATGCGGGGGTGCGGGAGAATGGGTCTAAATGCATGAGTCTCCTGCGAAATGTGTGAGACTTGGTAGGTCTGGATGCATCATGTTTGGTAATGCTAATTCTGCACTTTCAGGGGCTGTTTGGGGCACAGTTGGTTTTCAGCATGATCATGGCCAGCTTTCTGCAGAAGTTATCTCAGTACTTCTCGCTCGCACAGACTGTCATCTGTTACAGGTAGTATTAATTGTAACAGTGACTGAGCCATCACCAGTCAGTATACATACTTACCAATTCCATACATGGTATACTGACTGCCTGCTGTGGCTTCTTCATGCAAATGCCTCGAGGCCATAAGCAACATATTGTTATTCTTTGGGGTAGAGTATACCCTACAACACCTATGTTGTGCTTGTAAGATGGTGTTTGTAGGCTGTTTTAAGCTGTGGACACACTAGCCGATTTTTCATGCGATTGAGCCACCTGGCTGAGTCGGCCGGCTGAAATCGCCTAGTGTGTCCAGTGAGTCGCAGTCGATTTTCGAGTCGGCTGAATGAGTCGCCCGAATCAAACATGTTTGATAAAATCGAACAATGCAATACTATACAATGCGACTATACAATGCTCTACTACGCGCGCCCGAATGTACAATTCATCAGCCAATCAAACGGTGCCATTTTCAATCGTGACTATCAATCTAGGTCAACTCTCCGATGAATCGCGCTGAAATTCGCCTAATGTGTCCACTAGAGTTAGTCGCCCGACTCAGCCGGGCGGCTCAATTGCATGAAAAATCGGCTAGTGTGTCCACAGCTTAACAACCGTGAGTGTCGTAAGGAGTACGGTACCCAGTTGTAATTTTTAATCTCGCGTCACGGCTAACTGTTGCATGCTCATTAAAGACATAATAGGCCCATCGATTATGCAATTTTAACGAATGCTAGAGTAACTGGCACCTTGTGTAGTTAATAAGTACATTACCTTATAGCCAAACGCGTATTAGTTTGTCCAATATCACTGCTGGTTACTAAGAAATGTCTAATTGAAATCCGCAGTCCAAGAAATCAGTTGACTGACTTGTTTACAGTTTCGAAACCGCATACTGCGAAACGGGTGTGATACAGATTTATCATGTTTATAGTGCACCGGACATTTTCGCACGCATGCATTTTCGCTCGGCCGTACGCAATGCTAGCGATAGTACAGTACCGTAACTGTATACGTAACAGTAGCTCTGATTGTAATGTAATGAACGTGGAATCCACGTACGAATCATGGACGCTCGTGATAATGAAGTAGGCTGTGTTGGGGGCCAACACTATGGGGGGATCGTGGACTAACTATGCAGGGCCACAGAAAAACATGGAAAGCAGACGGCACTACGCGTATTTACGTATATTGGTCAAACGAATACACCTGTGTCCGAATATGAAGACATGTGGTTACCGGTTCATTATAGCACCCACGGTTATTTACTTGTGCCTCAATACCGAGAATACACCCAGAGATACATTCTACTAGCTCATTAGTCGTATATAAGCATCCCGGGACAAACAATTCTCCGCTAAACACCCGTAGCAACATGTTACGTCACCTAACCGAATTCGAGGCTATTTTGCTTGGCAAGCAATTTAGCATTGGCGCTAGATTACCAGATTTACGGATTTAAATTAGACATTTCTTAGTAATTAGCAGTGATATTGGACAAACTAATACGCATTTGGCTATAAGGTAATGTACTTATTAACTACAGAAGGTGCCAGTTACTGTAGCATTCGTCAACTTTGCATAATCAATGGGCCTATTATGCCTTTAATGTTTTGCACTGGGTTAATTGCTGGCTGCAGACTGGTGAGATACATGCACCCGACAGACGAGGAACTGAGAGAGGCAGCCGGTATCCCACCACCATCGAGCCGTAGCCGAGGCAAGAAAGATGCCAGGTATATAGACACATACCAGCCACATCTGTCTAGTTACAGCAATTGACTAGAATTTCATAATTAATTGTTAGTTACAGCCAATTAATGAATTTTTGGTTTATTTGGGATATCTCTACTTCAGTCCAGTTTAAAAAATACCAGTCCAGGAATTGCAAATACCTCTGATACGTTAAGTATTCCATTCGCCATGTTGCATGTTGTAAGTCTTGCAAAAAGTTTGATACAGTATAATGGGTAAAGCCAGCTTTGGCATGCTAATAAAGAGCTTTGTTATTAATCACATAGTGCATACCATGTTTGAATGCGGATACATAAGTTTACATCTGATCTGGTACGTGATCTTTGGCTCAATTATACATGATAAAGTCAAATCGGTTATGATTTTATGTTGTACACAAGCCTGTAATTTATGTGATCCTTATCGTTCACACGGTATTTGTGAATGTATTATTCTAGCTTCTTTGTATTAGTTTAAAAATGAGTGTTGTAGTTTAGTTTTTGTGATCTAGGAAACAGAATGGTGCTGCGAAGGACAACAGTTTCACCGTGCCCCGGAACATCCAGTTAAAACTAACGACGGCAGAAGTGACCGACCAAGACGTTGTCCATCTGCATTTCTTCACAGGTGTGAGCTGGCATCATCGATGTCATCATGTCTAAGCATGATAGATGTCAGTATAATCACGTAATCACAACAGTATATTATCCTGCGGTCAATTCGTCGATAACTTTGTAAATAACCACATTCATGTGAACCTTACTTTTGATAACATAACCTCATGAAAATTCTATCTACACCGTGTCCAACAAGCAAGGTTCACTGAACTTACTACAGGCACTCTCATTGGAAGAGCTTAAAAAATTCTGATCCAACCAATATGGCTGTGCCCGTGAAACACAGATCATGAAACTACTTGTGTACATAGCTTCCCTAGTATAGTGGAGCTTCCTGGACTTAGCAACAATTTGAGAAATTTACCCCACTAAAATTGAATTGACATGAAAGGAAATGGCGATTCTACGGTAGTCTAAGAAAGCAAGCTCAAGGTTGGAAACTTCAGATACCTATATTTGTCAACCAGATTCATTGATTGACAACTCTGCAGCTGGCAATCACGATATCCTATGTAAGCTTTCCACTATGGAAAAAAAACATTAATAAAATCTTCGCTTTAATTAAAAAGAGGATTTACCATCTGTAATAGACAGCCAATTAATTATCCTCAATAAAATTACACGTTTCCAATATCAGGAAGTGCCATGAATTTCTTTCAGGTAGGCCTAAATATGATGAACTAAATACTAAAATTGGAAGAAAAACTCACGACTCGACAAACATCTTATAACGACTTACACGATAACAAGACTTTTAAATCAACTACGATTACCATGGAAAAAAATATACATGAAGTTGAATCATCAGTGGATAAACTTGACCAATATGCGTAAAGTGAATGTATCGTAGTTGCTGGGATTTCTGTAATCAAAGATAAAAATACTAATAATATTATAAAGAAAGTAGGCAATTCAGTGGGTAATAAAATCACTGACAACCGTATCAAACCAAAGCAGTTATAAAAAGTATGCAAATAAGCTTACTCATCTGAAAGAAATAGCCAAAAAGAGACACTACAAAAATAAATAGAAAATACACAAGAATAATGTGAAATAACGTAGCAAACCAATAGTAATATTGTGAGTATATAAAACAAGTCGTCTGGCTTATCAAACTCCCTTATTACTGAGAACAATAGAACTGGCAGTAATACTGAGGATATATGTACACAATGTTTTTAAGAACTAATTTCAGAGTATTGACCCTTTAGAACATGGCTTCTAAAATCCCTTAGCAACATAAACCAATGGGGTTAGCCGCTAGAAACAGTTGCCGCTGGAGGGCAGTACATCTGCAGAGGTGAAGATTATCCGCGTACCCAGATCATAGCCCAGATGCACAACCGGGATAGAGTGGGGGAAGTGGGTGTTTATTCTTTTGTGTGTGCTGAGGAGTTATGTAATATGTTTATTGAGAATTAACGGTCAATATTAGTGGCTGCATATGGTGAAGTGGTGTTTTTCTTTTTGTGTGCTGCATGAGGAGTTATGTATTTATATGTTTATTGAGATTCATGTATGTATGTAGGTACATGTATGACCTGCAGAAAGAGCCCCCTACAGTCGTACACCACCTATATTCGCGCTGACATTATATATGCGTGCGTGCGTGGGTGTGCACGTCCACGTGTGTGCGTGCGTGCGTGGGTGTGCACGTCCACGTGTGTGCGTACTGTGGCACGGTACATGTCCGTGCGCTGCGTACGTGTGACGTACTCGTGCGTGCATACGTGCGTGGGTGGCGTGTGTACGTACCGCGTGCATGCATTCGTACGTGTGTGCTTGCGTGCGTGCGTATGCAGCGTACAGGTGCGTGGCATGCGTGCGTATGTACGTGCGGGCGTGCGGTGCACGTACACATGCGTGCATGCGTGGCGTGCGTTTGCACGTACACGTATGTGCGTGCGTGCGTGTGTACGTACACATGCGTGCATGCGTGCGGTGATGGCGTGCGTGTAAAACGTGCACGTGGTGTGCGTGCGTGTGGCGTGTGGTCATACATGTACGTGCATGCGGTGCGTGTGTGTGGCAGGTACACGTGTGTGCATGCATGCGTGCGTTGGCGTGCGTGGTGGCGTGTACACGTCCACGTGTATGGGTGCGTTGCGTGTGTGTGCAGGTACACCGTGTGTGCATGCATGCGTGCGTGCGTGCGTGCGTGCAGTGTACACGTCCACGTGTATGGGTGGCGTGCGTGCGTGCGTGTGCACGTACATGTGCGCACGTACAAGTGTGTGCGTGAGTGTGTGCGTGCGTCAGGCGCGTAGCCAGGGGGGGGGCGGTGGGGGCGGTCGCCCCCCCAAAACGGTCAAATATTGGCGCCAAAATGGCTTAAATATTTCAAAATTTTCTGGGGCCATGCCCCCAGACGCCCCCTAGCACTGGCATGGCTACGGCACGTGTCAAACGTACGGTTGTCAAATTTGCCATGTGCGTGGCATGTTAGTATGCATTGTATAATATGTATGTACGTGTGTGTTGGTGTGTGTGTGTGTGTGTGTGTGGTGTGCGTGTGCGTGTGCGTGTGCGTGTGGCGTGTGCGTGTGCGTGTGCGTGTGCGTGGGCGTGTGCGTGTGCGTGTGCGTGTGCGGTGCTCGCGTGTGCGTGTGCGTGTGCGTGTGCGTGTGCGTGTGCGTGTGCGTGTGCTGTGTGTGTATATGTGCGTGTGTCACTGTGTGTGTGGTGTGTGTGTGTGTGTGTGTGTGTGTGTGTGTGTGTGTGTGTGTGTGGTGTGTGTGTGTGTGTGTGTGTGTGTGTGTGTGTGTGTGTGTGTGTGTGTGTGTGTGTGTGTGTGTGTGTGTGTGTTGCAGGGGCGGATCAGAGGGGGGGTCGAGGGGATCCGGACCCCCCTTTTACCAAAAAAAAAGGAAAAATCATACACACACGCGCACGCGCGCGCACGCACGCACGCACGCACACACACACACAGACACACACACACACACACACACACGCATGCACGCACGCACGCACGCACGCACGCACACACACACACACACACGCGCGCGCGCGCACACACACACACACTTCTCTTATATTGTCTCCATTAAAAATCTTGTTGCGCTAGTTTTTCTGATAAAGATTTACTTATATATATGTAAATTCGTTATAAAAACTTAGAAATGGGCAAAGAGGGGTCCGCAGGTGTCCGGGAGACCGGATCTGATAAATTTTTGCATTCTAGACATCAAAATTACTGCTCAGATGCTCTCAGAATGCACCAATTTTTAAAAAAAATGCCCAAACCCCCCCAAAGTGGCCTTCGGCAGCTTTTTAAAACACCAGAAAAAGTAAGCAAAAAAAAGTGCCTTTTATTTCTTCCTGGACACCCCTTTTCAAAAATTCTGGATCCGCCCCTGTGTGTGTGTGTGTATGTATGTTCGTGCGTGCGCGATCGCGCGCGGTGTGTGTAAATTATTGTGGGGCTTACGCTCGGTGCTAGTATGTGATGGCTATCGCCGATGCATCCGCCCCCCCCACTCCTCGTACGGATTTACGCCCCTGATGTCGCACACTTCACGTGCTCATGCAATTGCGCCCCCCCCAAAATAAAAGCCTGGCTACGCGCCTGCGTGGCGTGCGTGTGTGCGTGCGTGCGTGCGTGCGTGCGTGCATGCGTACGTGTGGTGCTTGCGTCCATATGTGAAGTGGGTGTTTATTCTTTTGTGTGTGCTGAGGAGTTATGTAATATGTTTATTGAGATTCACGGTGATTATTAGTGGTGCAATATGTGAAGTGGGTGTTGATTCTTTTGTGTGTGCTTCAGGAGTTGTGTAATAGTGTTTAATTGAGATTCACAGTGATTTAGTGGTACATATGTGAAGTGGGTGTTGATTCTTTTGTGCTGGTGCTCAGAGGAGTTATGTAATATGTTGTTTGAGATTATTAATGCTATACAAGAATCAAGTTGCAATACAATTATGTATATCTTATTATTCTAAAAATGCAGCAGTTTACTACAGACATAAGCATTACTTGGCTGCACAAGTAGCTCGCCTAACTAAGTTGAGGAAATCAATGAAGGGCACACTTAACAATTCTTTCACCGAGAAGAAATCTTCTGATGGGGCAGGTCATCTTTTTAGCTCATCAGACATAGTCAGATGCGCTTGTAGAATCCGATGATCGTCCGTTGCGTCGCCGTCCCGTGCGTCAACAGTTGGGCACAAATCTTACCGCTCGACGTACGGTCACGATATTCGGCGTCGTTGGGGGATCGTCAAAACGAGTTTGGGATGTTCGAAGCTGGGGGTCAAAGGTCAAAAGGTCAAGAGTTGTAAAAGAAGGGGAAATTCACTCCTTAACTTAAGGTATAGGGAGGAATGCAGAATTGCGGCACAAATCTTAAACCGGCCGACGTAGGCTCGTGGATAGTCGGTGCTATAGCATCATGGTAGGAAAAAGCCATCACTGTGCCGAAATTGGAGGTCACAAGGTCAAAGAGTCAAATGGGCACAGGCAGATTTAGACATTTTCTGAGGACATGTCTGACGGAAGCGAGTTGAAAAACTTTTTTGTTTCACGCGGTGACCTAGCATTTTTTATGGCTTTATTTGAAAGGACCAATGAATGTCCGTTCGGCTGACATGGAAGAGTAAGTGCGGATAACCTTTTGACCTCAGAGGAAGGGTAAACATGGATGTTGTTGACTGTTAACAAAGGAGTGAACTGCTTTTGGGCTATTAGAGGCCCCCTCCCCCCACGCCTCCCCTCCCTCCCATCTGTAAATAGTGGGCGTGTCCTAACAATGATGTGTACGCAACTGGCGTGTCAGCATATCTGCGCGCTAACAAATGTGGTACTTACGCACGACACTGAAATTTTCGTTATAATTCCATAGCAACAGACCTCAGATGAGCGCCAGACGCTCTGCGGCTCTTGTTAATATTTTAAATGTCTTGGCTTAGACCAATGACCCTCTCTCTACATGGATCCTCTTAGATGCGATACGTCTATCTCTAACAACAGTTACTGTCTCTGCATTAAGTTGGGTATTTCCTTTGAGCATTGATGGCGTGTTTTACATGCACATTACAGCGTCAACCTTGAGTCTTTCTTTCATCTAAAAAATAGACATATTAAAGCAAACGTAATGAAAATATATGTTAAAAAATGCGTGTGGCAACGAAGTGCTAAAGCACTCGAGAGCTATCTCAATATACAATAATAAAACATGTAGAATAAATGCCGGTGATTACTAATAGCAGAGCTACGCTGGTAGCCATGTACTGGTACCTCGTACTAGAGACACCCTGGCCTCGATATTTACCAAATTACAGCCTGAACGTTGGCCACTGGCATTGTCCTATTATAATATACTGCTCTGTAGCGATAATGCTGTCAATGATACACTAACAGTTGTTTTATAATCTAGACTGCATGGAAGAACGGTCAAAGAAAACTACTGCCAAACCTCAAAGTCAAAATGAGGCTAAATAACTAAATGTTTATAAGCTATTTTCGATATTACACTTACTTAAAAGTGTGCTAGTATAGTCAGCCTCTCTGAAGTGATCGCTGCAGACTTTACGAAGGCATTTTAACTTGGTTATATCGCTATGACGATACGATCGGCTATTCGTGATTCCTGTATCTTTCCAACTGACCGATTGATTGCGCAATCGTTGTAACACCTCTAACTCCCGCTGCGCCACCTGCTGACAAAGCTAGCGGCTAACCCCATTGTAACCCTAAACGTATATTTCTATCAATCGTGCGTTTCACTTATTCATTGTATGTACGTATGGACACATGACATTTCACGCTCCCTCGCTGCACACTTCATCGGTAATGAAGCGTAATGAATACTTGCGTGGGCTCCCTCGTGCAGCAGCAGCACGGGATGACAAGCACCCTCAAGCTTCTACATTTCCCATTTTGCTTCACCGCTAATGTAATGGACTTGTGTTTGTGCGTGCGTGCGTGCGTGCGTGCGTGCGTGCGTGCGTGCGTGCGTGCGTGCGTGCGTGCGTGCGTGCGTGTGTGTGCGTATATACATACGCTCAAGAGCTAATAATACCTATTATTTGCTCTTGATACGTTTGTATGTGTGTACGGATTATATATAGAATATTGATTCTATCTATAGATTTATGTGATGTCATTCCTCATAACGTGTTATTTGCAGAGTACCAGTGGCTGGTTGACTTCTCATCGTGCGCTGTCATTGTCTACGTGATAACAGAGCTGTTCTACTGGATGACCCCACACATGGCAGCCGGTGAGGTCAACCTGAGTCTCATCTGGTCACTCATGGCTCTACTCTTCATCTTGTATCTTTGACAGACAGAGTCTACAATAGCCTGTGCTTGCAAGTGTATGCTCGTCCATGCGTAAACGTGTGTGAGACTGAGAGTGCACATGCGTGTGCCTGCGTGTGAGTGCATGCATAAACGCGTAAAAGAATGTGAAGAAGTGTGTGCGTGTGCATGTGAGTGCATGCATAACTATGTGTTTGAGTGTTGAGTGTGTGCGCGTAAGTGTGTATGCATAATCGTGTGTGCGTGAGCGTGTGTAAATGTGTGTGCATGAGCATGTGTGTAAACGTATGTGTAAGCATGTGTGAGAGAGCGTGTGCGTGTGAGTGTAAGTGTGTGCGTATGTGTGGGCGAGCATGAGCATGTGTGCGTGCGTGTGCTTGAGCATAAGATGTTCACGAGTCTTCACAGAATAATGTCTGTCCACAACGCACGGTGGCAAGTGCTTGATTGTTACTTCTCGTATCGTTGGTTTTGCTATGGCGGTGCGCAGACGTGTGCTGTGGTCGCTAACGGCGCAGTATTTCCGCGGTGAGGATGGCGGTGAGCGGGCGATGTGCATCATGTTTGCATTCTTCTGCCTTGTGTCAGCGATGGTCGTACTCGTCATCAATGAAGACATCCTCGAACTAGGACTCGACGAAGGCAAGTGTGTACGTAGTGCGTGCACGTCATAGTCACTCTTCTTGGATTTTGGGTGCAGTGATTTGTAGTGGCGTTCATTGACTCCAGCCCAGCGAAAAGACTTTTTTTTTTTAAATTTCTGAATAATGTACAGTTTTGATGCCCACCAGCCCAATTGTGAAAATCTAATAAATCTAATAAATATGTAAATAAGGTTAATATAGGTGAGATTTTGATATTAATATTTTATGGGGGTTCTGAGGTTAGAAGTGACTGCATGTGGATTTTTTTAAATGGATTCTATTTTTGTCGTGTTCCTTTTGCAGCGTATGCATTGTTCAGTCAAGGATCAAATCTGTTCTTGGCAACTCAGGGGTTGGAATCCAGGTATAGTACAGTGATGTGTTTCTGTGGTGGGATATCTCTGATTTATCAATTTATTTGTTTTCGATCTCATTCGATGACATGAACTTATGTGCAATAGCGGTGGTAGATTATGGCTAACTGGTGCATTGACGTTGGTAGTGTTGACAGCCGGCTTCTATTATCATTGTTACAGTGGACCCGCATCCAAGATTTCCATCAAGGTGATTCTAGCCCTGTGCTCAGCGCTGGTGGGAGCATTTCTTATCTTCCCGGGCATGAGGCTGGCACAGATGTACCACAGTGCTCAGAAGTACTGCGCAGATAACTTCATTCTGAGGTGAGATCTAATTAACAATGTGATGTTTACTGCAACGCGCATGCACGCACTTACACACATACACACACACACATATATACATACATATATATATACTAGCGG